ATGAGAAGAAAAATTGAGATTTGTGAGATGTACTCCTCGTCCAGTTGGCCTCGGACTTCCCAATTTGTATATAGTTTATGCCGTAATTGTTTGCACCCATTCTTGATAACCAGGCTTCTTTCTAAAAATTTTTTCCGAAAAAATATCGAAGCTACGGTGAAAGTGAAAATTTAGAGTTAGATAAAAGTCAATTCTTGTAAATTGCACTAATCGTTTAAATTCACAAACTATGCCCTGGTATATTCAATTCTCACTCATCGGGTGGAGTGTATATTGAATTGTTTTCTTTCTATTTTTTCTATTTTTCAAACTCCGAGTGACACTAACTAATCGAATTCATTGAAATTTTTTTGGCATTGCAGACGTAACGTAGCTCGAGTTATGATGTTTGATTATGGTCTTGCAATAGCTTTTATCGAACTCAAGATTAGAAGCAATGAACGAAAGAATCATTTTCGATAATTAAACTTGCAATTAAATAAAGGGTTTAGTAGAGCTTAATACGTAGATGAAATTATGTCAAAACCATTTAGTAATGTGTAAATTTTTGAGTTCTTCAATCTTTTCAACTAAAAAAAGAGATAAAAAAATTGATCAATAACAAGAAAAAATTTAATTTAGGAAAATTATATAAATATGGATATACCCTAGCTTTGGACATCAAGCATTTGGCTCTAGTCTTTCATAGCATTCTTAAACACGATACACATTATTAACAAATCTGACTTTACACGGATCAATGCATGAACGAGGATAGGCCGTATCGACTACTGTCAATTATTTTCATGAGAAGAGGAAATGTAATAAATGTATTAGTGTTTAGGTGTGAATTTTCTGTCACGATGTTCGACGACAACAACGGTTTATATCTCGATGAAGACGTCGATAGCGACGACTACTACGACTACTGCGAGTTTATGATCGAATTAGACTTTACGAGTGAACCGAAGAGTAAAATGGAATAACATCGGATCCGAGGGAATTAATAATGGATGTAAATTGAATCTTGATGGGACCATTGGGTTAATAATGTCCTCCACTGCATTATGGATACCGAAGTGTTGACGGTTAAACACGAGCTGGTAAGTGTATGAAATCCAACGCGCAGACGGGCTAACATTGCTGATGGTCGCGGTCTATTTTACTTGTACCAACATTTGTCTGATTCAATTTTTTTACAGAATATTTCAGATTCACAGATACAATATCGATTTTTTGTGAAAGTGAAACTTCTTTAGGCGACCTTCCAATGAGTTAAAACATATCTAGTATAAACTAAATTAAAAATCTATGATTAAATTAAATTCATTGGTAAATTAAAGTAGTACAAGTTGCAAAGTAGCGACAGCCCATATTTTAATCGTTGTCGATTTGCAATAATAGATCCGAAGTGATTGATCAAAGAAATCGTTTCCTCATCTTTTTTTGGATTATTTTCACGAAAATCAATAGCGCCGGTCGAAGCCTCGGTATATAGAGCTCAGAGGCTTTTTCAATCGACACGAAATTCATCAAAACAAAATTTAGACAACATCGTGTACAATTTCAAATTCATGATTACGCGTAAACTTTTACTTCAATTATTGTAAATGTAAAGTTCGTTACTGCAGTTGCCGTATACTATGCGAGACTTTTTTGCTTTTCATCGCTCCCAAAGCCCCTGCATCTGATACGGGTATATAAATTCGGAGCTTTTTCTCAGTAGAAATATATCGATTCATATTTAAAATTTGTCGTTGTACACGACGCGATGTATACATCGCAGCGACAGCGGCCTATGTTTACATATCGCTAACTTAAACGTAGGTACGTCAAATCGAAAAGTCTCGAGTAACTGCCAGTATCCCGGACGACGTTGAACGAACCGATTCTCCTCGTAGTATCCTCGTTTCTGTTTTTTGTGTTTTGTTGTAAAAATGGCGTCTCGCGACAGAAGGACGAACTCCGATCAAATTGACCCAAATAATAGAGTCGAGGGAGATCAGTCCGATGACGAAGCTCCTGCTTACGACCAGGAGTCTCTGCTTTCACACGCAACGACTGCCTCAACGGCTGCTTTATCGGACGAAGACAACCACCGGAGACATGCCGGTCCATCGTCGGGTGGAAGTTCAATCGATGGGTCCAACAGAGGATCGACTCTCACGCTGCGAAGAGGCTCCAATCCCGAGAATCTACTGCCAACTGCCGGACGATCCCAACCAGGAGATGTACCAGAAAGACAAGAGGAAGCGCCGCAGCCGATTGACCGCCAACCGAGACATCAGCAAGTTCGGTTTGACGAAGGGCAAAATATACAATACGAAATAGAATACGTACCACCACCGCCACAGCCGCAAAAGAGTAAGAACGAAATGGATCGCAGCACTAAGCATTGTCTATGGGCGGGTGGCTCGATCGTTCTTTTTTTTGTGATCATTTACATGTATTTGCATTGGGACGACTTCCGATAGAAATACATGTTTTTTTTATCTTTAGAACTCGATTAAATAAATAATTGTAATTTTTGTATTTCTATATGCACCATAATATTTACGTTGTCGTGTACATCATTTAATTTCGCCCTGATCACATGTATATCTATGAAAATACAATATTACGCGAAAGACGTCATCCTCGATAAACAAGTAAGAGGTAAGGATAGTACTTATATAATATTAACTATGCTTATTTTCGCTGGGTGTTCATTGTAATGCATTGCCTCGTGTAAATTCCATTTGCAACAGTAATAATAACAATCATACTTTTTTACATGGGTCACACATTGGTTTCACGGGATTTTTCTCGTGAAAGCCTTGCGATTTATAGTTCTCACTTATACCGTATTCGTCTGACTGGACAACAAACTAACTCTTCTATATGCGAACACACGACAAGCAACTCCGTAACTATCACATACAAAATGAGCTTGGGCTACTCAAATTTTGATGATGTTGATACCTCGAACCGAAGTAAGTCTCGCTAGGGAAAATGAAGCTAGAAAAGTCAGCTCCACATTTCGAAAAGTAAATTTATAACATCCGGCCGAAAAAGATTCGCCACGGCCCATTGCAGTGGTGTCCGACCCAACCTGTCTTGGCATCATCTGAACTAGCTGATGCTTTTCGTCATTTATATGGAAGAAATCCCCCACGGTAATGTATATAACGTCGTTAAACATTTCATCTGCGTGGAATATAAGGTGTAGGGGAGTAAATCCGTCATTGTTCGCCACGTTCGGATCAGCGCTATTTTTCAACATGAATTTCATCATGCATATGTTGTGTTTACGTAAAACCAAGCGCAGCGGCGAATCGCCCGTTTCTCGCCAAATGACATTGGGATCTTGACCGAGCTCGAGGCATTTTTGAACGACGTCGCGACAGCCGTACTCGCAGGCCACGTGAAAATGCGACAGTCCAGATTCGTCGGTGAAGTTCGCGTCGTATCTGCGTCGTATATTTTGAACAGATCGTTGAACAAATCCGGATAATTCTTTTTTTTTTGCCTTGCAAGCGCTGTACAGCGACCCCGAACTGCCAAAATTAGGATAATTCATTTGACACTGGGCCTTGGCCGCGCAATTCACACAGCTCAATGACCTTTCGTACATGAGACAATAACAAAACAATGTGTTGTATGGATCCATGGATGTTACATGGAAGATATATAATTTATATGAGAAAATGATTTATGATTAAAATGTACAATTTATATGAATAAATGATTTAAGAATTATAAAAATAAAAAAATAATGACACCGGCATTGTCAATAAAGTGCTCATCTGCATCATTATAATTAATATTTATAATATTTTTGCGTAAAATATTACTGTAACGATCCAGGTAAAATGAATTACTTGGTTTCAATGACTTTTGTTTGACATGTCACCATTCTACCCTTGACTTGGAATATGTAGCTCCTGTATGTCATTTGATGGTGAAATGAATATTTAACCGAAAATTCAAGTTAATCGTTGGAAAATGAAGTTTTATTTTCTGTCATATATTTACAAAATATATACAATTTATTCGTAGAAGAGCTAACACATCTAGTAAATTTATCATTATAGTTAATTACATTTTTACTCTTTCATTATGGACTATCAATCAAAAATTTGTGAAATCAAATTTCTTATACTTATATAATGTCCAGTAAATTAAATTTATGAACTTAGATGATTCTGAAAATTTCATTTTACAAACCAACTCCAGTACCAGAGAAGCGTTTAACACGTGTCCAACTAGCTGGCAAGTCTATATGCTGTACCTAATAAGAGACACTGAGAATTTGAATGAAATATAATCATTTGGATTTGGATTTTATTTTTAATTTATATCGATTCAGAAATTGTTTAGTGATTGTGAGAAACTTTAGCTGGTCCCAAACAAATAGCTATTAAGTTAGAAATGATCTTGAGATTGAGGTGCTTATCACTTATCAAAATCAGTAAGAACAACATGGTGGCCGCTTGGACAGTATTGTGTGATTGTTGTTATTGTGCGTGTGACTTGTAGTCAACGTCTCGCTTAAAGTTGCATTTTTTTTGTTTCATTTTGCTGTACAGGCCCTCAGCTGGCATCTCGAATTTTGAATTTTTCCTCCTGAATCGTTGCGCGATACAAGCATACTCACGAAATGCTAAATATAAATTGCTTCGATACCTAAAAAAATAGAACAGCAAGTTCAGCGTCAAAAAAAAAAAGATAGATGCCAATTTTCGCGCTCTGCTCTGCCGATGATGATCCGATCGGGTCCATCGATGTCACATTTTTACCAATGAAAAAATTATTCCAACGATCGATAATAATTCGACAGGGCTTCGATCGAATCTCGATCATTTCCACTTGGCGGCAGCAACTGTAGTCCCAATTTTCCCTGAAAACACGACGCACGAAAAACGACGAATTGCGAATGGTGCTTTTATTGCGTTTGCGAAGTTCGGTGAACATTTTACAATTTTTTTTTTTTTCGGCGCTTAATTTTTTTACAACATTTTTGCGATTTTTTTGTCCTTTTATATACATATTTCTTCTCTCTCTCTCTCATCTCGACGACGACGGTTTCTTGGTCTTCGATCGTCGTCGTCGAGGCCCCTCGGGCTCTTGTTTACCTTTTTCCAAGAGAGCAGCGACTCGTCGCTGCTCTTTTTCAGAGGGTTGTAGTCGCTGCTGCCGGCCAGTCGCCTGCTCCTCGTTCTGTTTTCGATTATTGTAGTCCACGATGGCACGGTTCCGGCGCTCGGTCTGTGTATAAAAGCACGAGTAAGAGCGTGAAAAGCTTCGAACGAGCGCATGTCTCCAAACTTGACTTACCTCATCGCATGGTGTTTCTTCATCCGATTCTATAAAAGATAACTCTTCCTTGTCGGGCTTCTTACAGCACGGCTTTTTCCTGCAAGGCGATGGTTGCCGCTGGCGACAGCAAGGCGATGGTTGCCGTTGGCGACAGCAAGGCGATCGTTGCCGTTGGCGATGGCAAGGCGATGGTTGCCGCTGGCGATGGCAAGGCGATGGTTGCCGCTGGCGACGGCAAGGCGATGGTTGCCGCTGGCGACAGCACGGCGGCGAGGAGTCCTTCCGTCTTTCGGGGCACGTACGCCGAGGCCTGCAGCACTTTGACCTGCGCGGTGTATCTCGACTGCAGCCGGCTCGCGCATCCTCGCTGTCGCTGTCGATGCTTTCGGCCTGAATGCGTGCGTTGTGCTTGTCGCCGCGGCGCCGTCCGATGGTATAGGTGGCATCGTTCCACGGTGGCCGGTTCCGCTGCTCGCCACCGCACGCTCCCTCCGGCGACGACTGCCTCTGTTGCGCGTTGTCAATGGCGACGCGTGTGAGCTTTTATTACTCGCGAGAGAGACGCACCTCGACTCAACTTTTTTTTTAACTTACTCTTTTCTCTTTTTTGCACTTTTTCTTGCTTTCCTTTTCACAATCTCCTGCTATAAGTTTCCCGAGTACGCATATGTCTCGTACCAACCGTTTTTCTCTCTCTCTTAATGTTGGGCATCTCTTCGGCCGGTCTTTGTTCGATTCGCACATTTCCGAATACTACTACTACCACTTCTACCGTCGTTGGATCGTCGTTGAGAGAGCAGAGTCAATGACACTTGGCAATTTTGGGGGGGCCGAAATTTACAAATTGTCCGAAAATAGATTGAGTGTGTTTGAATTTTGTAACCTCGAAAGTGGTGTGCACCGATCGTGGCCCGTGTCACGACTGGCTCTCAACGTCTCGTTTGGAGCAGCATTTGTCTTTTTTTTTTTTTTTTGTTTTTTTCGTGCCGCTGTACAGGCTTTCGCCCGAGTCATAGCTGTAGCAGACTTGTGAAGTTAGCTGAATTTTTTCTAAATGTTAATATTTTCCATCAAGGGTGGGCCAACAAAATTTCTCCGGATTATGTTTCCACCCTTATTTTTACTTACAGAAGTAGCATCAGAGATTTTTTTGCTGCGCTAGATACACTTTTTGCTATTTCTACGTATACGGTGTAGCTAAGAACTAGTTAGGATCTTAAAAAATTTCTCCTTACTTGCGGATTGCGAATGAGAAAAAAAATGTACAAAAAAATCATTAGTGATAAAAGGCAATTAAAAATAAAATATGCATAAATGTACATAGTCTACGAGCCACACAGGCTCATAATGAGCAGCGAAAGATGAACCTACTTCTTTTCCTCGTATTTTTTCCCTCTGAACACAATTTTTTGAGGTGGACATCGATCCGAGTGGCAGTTTATTTGTTATTAACAATTTAATTCTTTAAACAGTCATAACTAGTAAAATATTGAAAATAAATTAAAAACTAGTCTACGTCATTCTATTCTAAATTAAAAAGTAAAGAGATTGAATTAACAATAGTTAAAATCGGTTTATTAGAAAAAAAGTTATGGACAATTTTGTGTTTTTTTGTTTAATTAAGGCAAATCTGCTACTTTTGAGTTTTGAACGATTTTTAACTCTTTACATATGCATCGGAGAAAATAGTTACTGGAGAAACTTTTTTTTAGAATCGTCTAAGGATATTTATTATTTAATATTTATTATTTTGCAAAATAAACGATTTTTTTGTGTATAACAATAAAAATTATTCGTTAATTTTGTTTATACAAAAAGAGATCTTTTCTTCGTATTTTTCTCTGCTGGAGACAAATGACAAGGTTGATAATCGCCCATCCTTGATGGAAAATATTAACATTTAGAAAAAATTCCGCTAACTTAATAAGTCTAGCTGTAGCTGGTTTCGAATCTCTGTTGTTATTTCATTAACCGCTGCGACGAATATTCGACTCGAGTGATACAGACGCCGAGATAGGCTGCTGCCACCGCTGCATTATGCGTAAGCGTCGTGCCGAGTTAATAAATCCTGAGTACGCGTCGCGAAAGTAAAGACCCATTCGAGGGCGTGTTCAACAAAAAATCGATATTATCGCTCATTGATCGAATCGGATCTCGTTTTACTATACATATTATACGCGAATGCAAAGGACGACGATGATCGTGTCTAGGAACTGCGACTGTATGACGACGATCGGCAACTCTCGTTGCAAAAAGTTGTCACGCTAATTACTTTACGCATTTTTATCGCGCGTCTCGTTGTTCAAACGCTCTCAATAAGACACTACCAACACAGTCAAACGGGCAAACATAGCCCGAGTATCATTGTTTTTTTATTTATTTTTTCAGTAAAACGTCGAATGATCGCCAACGCTAATCCGCGCTCAATGTATATAATTCATACAATCAACTCGAAGTAAAACTAAATTCATAAATAATTAATTTGTTTGTAAATAACAAAGCATTTGCGATGAATAAAATCCAAAAGTAAATTTACTTCTAAAATGGAATGACAAAATTTTGAAATTTTCTAGCTCTCTAGGATTTTTTTCTACAATTTAATACGTTCCCACTGTTAAAATATATTATTACAATGAACGAAATCTCCGGCGACGCGGTGCTCTCGATAATCCACGGTCCAGCGACGACGGGCCACTTCGTCGAGATGTCGAAATTCGTGAATCAAAAAAAAAAAAGAAAAATTCATGGCTGGTCGAACTGGCGGCCTCGAGCCCCGCATCCCCGACGCCGGCTGCCATCTCGACAATTGCGGCTTCGACGTCGTCTCGGATCAGACGGGCTATCAGGTGCATCATCGTCCAGCGGATGCTGGAGTCGGCTGCGAGGACGCGACCATCGTTTCCAATGCTCTCGATGTATGCGTGCATTCATTGTACGAGTCTCACGATCGACGATCAACTCTTGTAATCTTTGATTTTTATCCTGCTTAGGTGGCATATCCGATGGCGAGATTTATGATTTGGAATCACCGCATAGTTGGTTGGCAGAGTCTCTAGAAATGGGTCCTACTTCTTATTTTCTTTATCATTTACTCAAACCTGTATCTATTTTGTCAATGCGGCACGTATACGACGGATAATTACGCGTTGATTATTTGTAAGTATGAAAAATAATCTCGTTATAAGAAAACTGCTATGTAACTTGGATTTCCCAGATGTACCAATAATATGTCCGTTTCCTTCTCACCCATGCTTATTATTTAAAAGTGTCAACATTTTGTGTGCGCGTGTCGACACGCGCTTGTAAATCAATCATTTCGATTTCCAACTTAATTTCTTCTCTCATTGCTGGACACTTTAATGAATAAATAAGCTTCAATATGCGAGTGCATTAGTTTCATTTATGCATTGACTAACAGTGAGTTACTTTCGTCAAGCTCGTCAATGGCAAAATCTACTTATTTTTCGACTTTCGCGAAAAAAAATATATGTCAGCCTTAAATTTTGCCACACAACAAATAAGCTCCTTACATTTTTACTTCCTCGCGAATTAAACGGCGCCCCACAAACTCGAGAGAAGCTGTATATTGTACCACGAAAAATCACCGCTAGCCGACCATCTCGATAATAAGCAAACTATGCGCTTTTTCGCGCGCAATAAGAAACAAAAGGATGCAACTTCAAGCGAGACGTTGACAGCGAGCCACACACGCACAACAACAATAACAACAACGACAGCACGACACGCGCGTTAGTGCACGCACACCCCCCCCCCTTTCGAGGTTACTAAATTCAATTCAACCAAACTCTTTTTTCGGACCAGTCTAAATTGCCAAGTGTACTTTTTTTATATTACTCGCGACACACGAGCTTGTTTTCTCGTCGCTCATTCGCTCGACGATCCGACGAAGGGTAGTGGCGACGTTGGTCGCGTAGAATGGCCGAAGAGGACGGAAAGCCGGTGTCGCCCTGGGACCTGACGCCGCAAAGCTGGGCCGAAGATCAGGAGCGAAATTTGCGGAGGATAATGAGGTTCAATGAGGAGTCCATGCTGGATCTGCTCGGAGCGACTAAGCTCGAGAACAGCGAGGAGGAGGCCACGAGCAAAAATCCCAAGCTGCATTCTGTCGACTCGAGGCGCCGGAGGAGAGAAAGGATGAAATATTACCGGTTCATTTGCGAGGGAATGCACCATCGGAGGAGAATGACGGAGAAGCAGAAGAGGCAGGAGGACAGGTGCGTCTGCCCGGATAACCATATAAATAAGTGGGCCAAAAGACGTATTTTCATTACAACAGTAAGCGCATACACGACGAAAACGCGTGTGATAATAAAAAAAAGAAAAAAAAGAAATGAAATAAATAAAAATAAAAAAATAGACGTGGCAAGTCCTGGGGCAAATGGCGCAGAAGGAATCTTGCTGCGGAGATCGATGGATCCAAAGGTGGCGGCCCCTAGTGTTCGACATCGACGAGGTACCCGAGAAGCCCGATCCCGAGCCACGGAGGGAGCCCCGCATACCCCGCCACTGCATGACCAAAGAGGAGTGGCTGGACTTCATGTCGCGACCTCGAGACGTGTACGTGCGACGACCATGATATACAATATAACACGTAGATTATTAAACTTGAGTAACCGAACGACGGCGTACGCGGACGCGCAGGAGAGGCTGCCGGGAGGACAGGACCTCGGCGTGCGGCACGTGGTTCAATCACGGCCGGGTCAAGCCGCTCACGCTGAGGCTGCTGGAGCTGGCCAGGCCGCATCCGTTCCGCGTCCAGGAGGCGATCAAGAACGCCGGCGAGCTCCTGGACGAGTCGCGTCTGCGCAGGCTCGTCGAGGCCGCCGAGCAGCAGTCGGCCCTGACGCCCGAGTACGTGGTCACGTAAATAAAAAAAGCCCAACGATCTCGATCGTATTTACGCGCGGGCGTGTGCGTTTGTTCGTTTTCAGACAAGCCCAGGAGATCGTCAAGATGGAAGACGAGCACAGGAAAGATATGAACATGGTGCGCTGGTACAAGAAGTACCATGCCAGGCAGCGAAAGAAGGAACTCGCGAAGATGAAGAAAAAGTTGGCCAAGATCGAGAAACAGTCCTGCAGAGACAGAGGCGACGTTTCGTTCGATTTGGGCGAGGTGTTCAAGAGATTGGAGGGGGCGCCGGATAGCTGCAGCGAGGACGACGAGGATACGCGCCGTCGAGATCCAAAATCCAGTCGAAAGCGCAGGCATCGGCGGCGGTGAAAACTCAGACGATCGTCGTCGTCGTCGCCGTCGTCGTCGTCGTGTTCGTCGCCGCGTTCGTCGTCGTACTAGAAAAGAATTTATCGAAAAGAATCAAACGAGCGTGGGCAAAAAAAGAAAAGTCAGATAAAGCTGGAAAAAAACTAAGTGCTAAAAGTAGTCGTAAGTATGATGAGATCTTAAAAATCAGAGAAAAATCACTAGAAAAAAAGAAAGCCGAATCTAAAAATATGAAAAATGCTAAAATAACCGCGCTTCGGAAGAAAAAATCTCGGATAAAATACCGTGAAGAAATAAATACGGACGAAACGGATTCGGACGAAGTGAGTACGAAAAAGTACGAGGCTCGTTGAAAAAAAAGCTCACGCCCAAATGACAAGCTCGGCTCGATTTAGGATGTAAACGACATCTACGAGGACGTTGCAGGCGAGAACCCGAAGATTATACGTCTTCGACGGCAGTTCATGGATCTGACCCTGCCGTACCCGCAGTCCATCAGGCTACGGTTGAAGCACCTTCTCTTACATATGGGAAATAGCTGGGCGAAGAGCATAATCAAAGAAACCCTTAAGAACGGCCAGCAAGCCTTGAGCATACGGTACGTACATATATACATATGTATAAATATATAAACGTGTATCGGTAATTT